ATTTAGTACCCTAGGGTGCCTTTATAGTCCCGTCCTTAAATTTTAATTTACTTTATTTTTTAAATGTCACTGACCCTCATATAATCTGACCCTTTAAAGGCACTTTATGCCCGGGAAATGTTTTTAAAAAATTTTCCCTTTTAAAAGCTTTTTATTTTAAGGCTTTTTTCCCTTTTTGCTACAAAAAATTTTTTCCCCAGTTATAGCTACTTTTTTCCCGGGTTTTTAAATTCATTAATTAAATTTAAAAATTTCTCAACTTTTCAATTTTTGAGAAATTTTAAAAATTTTAAGTGCATCAACTTTACACTGTAAAACATGCATGGGTTTTTAAAAAATACCCTTTAAAGAAATTTGGAAAAAATTTGGCCACCCATAATTCTAGAAGTTTCAATGTTTTTTTTGTAAAAAAAGGGAACTGGGAAAAATTTTTAATAGACACCTTTTTTTTTTTATTTTTAAAAAAATTTTACATAAAAAGGGGTCAAAAATAAATTTTAATTTGGTTTTTTATAAAAAATGGGGGCTATAAAACAACCCCAAATTTTCTTCAAAATTAAAATTTATAAAATTACAAGTGTAAAATCACAATCAAAAATAAAAGGGGAACCCTATTAGGTAAAAAACCCTGTAATACAACTTGTTTCTTACACCCTCTCAAAAACCTTTTTCCCTTTTGCTGAGAAAAAACCAAATTTTCCCCAAAAATTTTTCCAAGTAAACCTTCCCCTCGGGACAAAATTGGGTCCCTGGAAGGGTTTTTGTTTTGCACTTTTTTTTAACCAATCAAACAATCTGGAAAATTATGATTCAAATATTTTTAAACCCCAAACCGGGGCACTTAACATTTTTATTTTTGAGCCAATTTTATCAATAAATTATTCTCTAAATCTGGCAAAAAAAAGGGTTTGACCATGCTACAAAAAAATTTGAAATAAAACAAATATTAACAAAGGAAAAACTAATTTTTTTTTTAAAATTTTTGTATCTTTTTTTCCCTTTTGCATAGAATCGGGAATATAAAATTTTAAACAAGAAATTTCACCCCTTTAAAATTTTTTTATCATTTCTTTGAATTTAAAAAATACATTTTTTTGTTTCCCCCTAATTTTACCCGAAAAAGTCCCTAAAATCCCCTTTAAACCCTGTTTTTAAAGCCTCTGCCCAAACCCCCGCAATCCCGTATGGCCAGGCTAAATAAGGTTCATGTTCATGTTTTTTTAACATCAAAATTCCTTAAACTTTAAGTGAACTGAAAGAAGATCCATGATACAAATTTAGCAGGTAAAGGGTGATTAATTACTGTGAATTCACTTAATTTCATGGACTTCAAATCTGGTGGTTTTGTCACAAAAATCATTTTCGTGGGTACTTAAATTTGTGCACTGTTTATTTTTCCAAAAGATAAAACTAAATAATGTGATGCCAAATAATCTTACAGCAAAAGAAATTAAATTTCGTTGGATCTTAAATTTGTGAATAGACTTATCCATGAAAATAACAAAAATCAGTACCCCACGATTATTTATGATTTTGCAGTAATATATAAAAAATTGTTTCTAGCACAACTAGTTTGAAGCACAATGGCATTATTGTTACTGATAAATTTATATCTATATCCATAAGTATATCGTAAGTGTTTCTATATATTTAGTCTGTTCTGTCTTTGTTGTTTCTCCAGATGCAGAAGTTAATTACACTTGCGAAGCTGACCCAGCCTAGGTACGGTATAAGTATATACGCTGCTGTTGGATTCACTTGGTAAAAACTTGCCATAGTAGCAACAATAGAGCCCCATAATCCTAGTATCTCAGCGAATGCCTGCAAATATTAAACAGTATCTTTTACTTAACTCTTAACACACTAACATATCTAACATTGACTTGTTCATCTTTCAATCTGAACAAAGCCATTCATCATATCTTTGGAAAATTTTAAAATATGAACTGACTGAATAGCAAATACATGTAGTTAAGACCATGATCGGATGACACAAACATGATGTCCTTTTTTCTAATAGCAAATTAGGAGCAATTTTTTTTATATAAAATTATTCATTTGATCTAGAGTGTTCTAAATGTATAATAATTCATTAATTTTTGTTTAAATTTATATATTACCTTTCAATGATAGTAATATATTGTGCATATGACTTAGTTCTACATACCAGCATACCTTATGAATAAAAACATTTTGATAAACTTTTATAATACTGCATGTTTGTAACATTGCTATTTTGGATAATTGTGATGTTTACAATGTACAAAATGTATATAGATTTATATACAAGGCTGCCATCAATTTATGAAGAAATCTCACTTTTTTCTCTAATAAAAGATGCTTGCTGTATTATAAATTTGTTTTAAATATTTCTGACAGTTGTAAGAATATAACCGTCACCTGGCTTGGGTTATATTTCCAAACAACTGTTTATATATGGCTATATAACCTGTCAAAAACCATTATAACTAATAATAAAAGTGAAAATATAGAGGTATTTTACTAAATAAAAGCAAGCTGTATAATTATAATTAAACAGAAACTATACTAACCAGACCAAGTTTCTTGTACTTGAAAAAGATAGGTGACCATGCCCAGTTGAGTACCAAACTTGTCCCATAGCAAGCAAGAGGTAGAGCAGCCTCACCTTCAAACCCTCCACCGTCACGGTAAACCATGTAGGATGCATACCCCATAGAACAGAACAAGCCCGTCCAAACTGGTGGAAACAGCCATGACGGAGGTTGAAATGATGGTTTCTTCAATGCCTAACATACAAAGAGAAAAAAATGAAAATCATATTCATTTAATGTCACAAAATCATCTATAACGATAAAATGATGAATTTCCAGCTTTACTGGTTGAGAAAAGTCCTAGAAAACCTCAGATGCTATGTAGTGTATGGTTTGATGCATAAGCCAAGGCACCCTTAAATCTAGCTTGATACATGTACCTTCATCACATGAAAGAATCTGAAATTTTCTGAATGTGATGTTAATCCACAGAGATGTGGGGCAAGTGGTGTAAGTCAATGACTTTGAGTTAAACCTGGAAGCCATGAAGCCCCCCCCCACCCCCTCCCCAAGCTATTTGACCATTGCCAACAACTTTCATGTATAATTATTTCATGGTTTGTAAATATGTCTGATACTAAATACTATCAATGTAATAATTCATTGTAATACAGACCTTCCATTATGGACCAATTCACTTTAAAATTATAATATCATAAATGCTTAGGAATTAAAATATTACTGAAGAATAGTCATATGAACTATCATAAATGAGCTAATTATACATGTACCTGATACCATGTAATCTCCCCAGGTTTAGAGGGTCTTGTCTGTGCTCTTGTTACAAAACTACCAAGATATCCTCCAATATTTGGCAGCAAAATGGCTGCAACTGGTTTCAGGTAATTGGCCATCTAAAAAAAAAAGTTCATAATTTATAACATTATCTTGCGATAAAAATTGAATAATATTACACTCAAATCAACTGTTACAATGATTCTTGAACCATCACAGGGAAGAAAGGAAACATTGTTTTTTTTGTTTGTTTTTTTATTTAAGGCTGCCTGCCTGCAGATCAGCCAAAATATTTCTGAAAAAAAAAAAACAATTATTTAAGAGCGATCAGTAATCACATGTGTCGCCTCATGATGGCCAATTTCATGTTCATTGTTGGGACAAATTTTGTGACAGACGGACAGACAGACGGACAGTGCACAACTAGACTTGGTACTGATCATTCCTGTAAAGTTTGGATAAAATTGCACCAGTAGTTTATGAGGAGTAGTCCGGACAAGCTTTTGTGTATCTGGCAACACACAGAAAAAAACACCTTTTTATCAAAGGGCCATAACTCGACCAAAAATCATTCAACCAGAAAACCCATGCAACATGCACAAGGACTTGAGCTACAGATCAATCCTGTAAAGTTTCATTGAAATTGCATAAGTGGTATAAGAGAAGTAGTCGGGACAAACTTTAAAAATAAAAATTATTAAAGGGCCATAACTCTGACAAAAATCATTGAACCGGAAAATGCTGACAATATACACAACTAGACTTGATACTGATCATTCCTGTAAAGTTTGGATAAAATTGCACCAGTTATGAGTTTATGAGGAGTAGTCCGGACAAGCTTTTGTGTATCTGGCAACACACAGAAAAAAACACCTTTTTATCAAAGGGCCATAACTCGGCCAAAAATCATTCAACCGGAAAACCCGTGCAATATGCGCAAGGACTTGAGCTACAGATCAATCCTGTAAAGTTTCACTGAAATTGCATTAGTGGTATAAGAGAAGTAGTCCGGACAAACTTTAAAATTAAAAATTATTAAAGGGCCATAACTCTGGCAAAAATCATTGAACCGGAAAATGCTGACAATATGCACAACTAGACTTGGTACTGATCATTCCTGTAAAGTTTGGATGAAGTTGCACCAGTAGTTTATGAGGAGTAGTCCGGACAAGTTTTGTGACGGACGGACGGACAGACAGACAGACAGACGACGGAGAAGTGATCCCTATATGTCGCCACTACTCCGTAGAGGCGACACAAAAAACACACAAAAAAACTAACATTTTAAGAAAAGGAAAAAAAAAAGAGCTGTCACCCAAGTGACAAATGCCCCGAAAGGGTTTTTTTAAGCATGAAGGTATTATGTGAAAGTAACAAATTGCTGAATATTGTTCTTTGTACAATGTATTATTGTACCTGTAATCTCTAATTGTGATAGCATGAACATTCAAAATATAAGTGTGACCTTGACCTTTGAAGAAGGGAAATGGTTCCTGGATGCGACAAAATGTTGCTGTGAGATAGACATTTGTGCCAAATTATTTCAAAATCCCTCAATGCATAACAAAGTTACAGTCTGGACATGATTTTGTGTAAGTGGGGACATTTATGCCTAGTTATTTTAGAATTGTTCGATGCATGACAAAGTTACAGCCCGGACACGAATGTGTGTACCTATAAACTCTATTTGTGATAAAGTGAACTTCAAAAAAGCAGTGTGACCTTGACCTTTGTGGAAGGGACGTGATTATTGGACGCAACACATTGTCTTGATATTGTAGACATTTATGCCAAGTTATTTTAAAATCCTTCCATGCAACAAAGTTACAGCCCGGACACGATTGTGTGTACCTATTAATTCTAATTGTGATAATGTGAAACTTCAAAATGTTAGTGTGACCTTGACCTTTGAGGTAGAAATTCTTAGACGTGACACATCGCCTTGATGTGGTAGACATTTATGCCTAGTTATTTTAAAATCATTCGATGCATGACAAAGTTACAGTACGGACACGAATGTGTGTACCTATTTACTCTAATTGCGATAATGTGAAACTTCAAAATGATATTGTGACCTTGACCTTTGAGTCAGGGACATGGTTCTTAGCAGAACACATCGTCTTGATGTGGTACACATTTGTGCCAAGTTATTTCATAATCTCTCAATGTATGACAAAGTTACAGTCCAGACACAAATGAAGTGGGACAGACGGACGGACAGACAGACAGACAGTGCGTTTATATTATGCCTCCCTTTGGGGGTATAAAAATTAAAGATTCAATAATCATTTACAGGTTATGTACAACATATGACTGATTTTACATTATTTACCACCAGATATTAATTTTGCTTGCTTTATAGTATAACAATGCACAGTTTATTGTTCAAATGCTTTGTAATTAATCACATCATATTCCTACACCTTTTAACTCGAAACGTGCATTCTTCTACACAAATGCACTCAAAACTGATATCTATTTCCTGAATAAAAAATATTGCTAGATCATTTTCTATCATTCTCTTAGTCAGTTGCTGAAATATTAAATTATAAAACAAGAGATGTCAGTAGGACAGTGTGCTTGACTATTCTTTATAGTGCTTGATAGTAAAAATGCGGCATTATATAGTAAAAAAAGCTTGATATAGTGACCTCCTCCTGTGCACTGGTTGCAATTAGGATCGTGCAAAGTAGCCAGATGTGTATGGACTTTGAAATTATCTGAGGTGGTACACAATTAAACTTTAAAATAAATTCTAAGTTGAACAAGAGCTGTAAGTAGTACGTTCGACTATTTTTCGTGCTTGATAGTAAAAGAGGCTTTCTAAGTTCACAAAAGGGCCAATTTTCTTTTCAAATCCATGTTACAGTTAAAGGCCTTGGAGAGTGTCCTATTATGCTCTTGAAGTGTATACAATTTCACTAGTTTCAAAGTCTATGTCAATGGAATATGAAATTATCTGAGGTGGTTCACAAACTTTAATGTAAATTCAAAGTTCAAAAATGGCATTATTCTGTCAAAATGCTTGCTAGAGTTACCTCCTCTTGTTTACATGGGGGCATCATGGTGAACAAGTGAGGAAAGTTTCAAAGCCATATATCAATGATCTTTGAAAATATTTGAGATGGTAACTAAGCAAACCTTAACATAAATTGTAAGTCAAAAAAGGGGTATAACTCTGTCAAAATGCTCAATACAGTGACCTCCTCCTGTGTACAGTTTGGGGGCATAATGGTTAATAAGTGTGTAAAGAACAAGAGCTGTCACAGGAGACAGCGAAGCTCGACTAATAAAATACTGGACGCAGTAAGGAGGACAAAACTATGAAAGAAAAATCAATTATGTATAATTATGTATTAAGTTATAGTAAAAAAATAACATTTGTTAACATAAATTCCAAGATCATGGGGAATAATTCTAGAAATAGTCATGCTAGAGTTATGGACCTTGCCACACAACATTTGTGTAATGATAAGAAATATATATTTGAAGTTTGAAGTAGATACCTTAACAAGAGCTGTCCGTAAGACAGCGCGCTCGACTTTTTTATTGCTTGCCAATAAAAAAAGTTTTTGCAGTAAAAGGCAATACAAGAATCTCTGTATTTTTAAAGTGAACAATGGCCATGAGCATTAAGATATTTAGTGAAGAATTATTTTACTGAATTGTGTGATACCCTTGAACACTGCAGCAAAGTTTGAAATGTTTAAGTCAAAAGAGGGCTGGTAAGAAAGAAAAAAAAACTGAGTTGAGTTTTTTAGTGCTTGCCTATAATACAAAACATTGACAGTTAAGGGCCATAATTCAAATAAAATCTTTGACAGAATTACCTTCTCCTGGACATGTTTGGGAATCATGATTGTAAACAAGTATTCCAACTTTCAAATTAATATCTCAAACAGTTCAGTCAAAAAGTGGACTGGTACTAAAAACTTAACCAAGATTCTAAGTCGATAAAAGGCCTTAATTTTTAAAACAAATCCTTGACAGAGTTACCTTCTCTTGCGTACAGATGGGGGTAATGATGTGAAATAGCATTAAAAGTTTCAAAGCAATATCTCAAAGGGTTAAGGCAATAAGTGGATTTTACCCATATTCAATGTATTTTCTAAGTCAAAAAGGGGCATAATTCTGTCAAAAACCTTGACAGAGTTATGTCCTCTTGTCTGTTGATGAAGGTCGTGATGGTAAACAAGTATGGTCAGTTTCAAAGCAATACCTCTCAATGGTTTTGAAATAAAGTGAGGTGGTACAAAAAACTTAACCAAGCTCAATACACTTTCTAAGTCAAAAAAGGGCCATAATTCTGTCAAAAACCTTGACAGAGTTATGTACTCTTGTCTGTAGATGGAGGTTATGATGGTGAACAAGTATGGTAAGTTTCAAAGCCATACTTGTAATACTTCTGAAATAAAGTGGGGTGGTACGAAAAACTTAACCAAGGTGTGACGCCAACGCCGACGCCGGGGCGAGTAGGATAGCTCCCCTTTTCATAGAAAAGTCGAGCTAAAAAGTAAAGAAGTTATTATATTTCTTAAAGAAAATCCTAAGTTCAAAGAGAGATAAATCTGTAAATATTGCTTCAAGAGTTATGAAAATTGTCACATAAAATGTAATTGATGATAAGGAATAAGTATTTGAAGTTTGAGGTAGATACTTTTAAAAATAAAAAAGTTATAATAAAAAATAACATTTTTCTAGTAAAAAAATCTAAGTTTATGGGGAGATAATTCTTGCAATATTGGTGCTTGAGTTATGAACCTTGTCACATAAGATGTGGATGATGATAACGTAAATATATTTGAAGTATGAGGTTGATCCCTTTAGAAATAAAGAAGTAACAGTAAGAAATAGTACTTTTTGAGGAAAATTCTAAGTTCAAGGGGAGATAAATCTGAAAATATTGGTGCTAGAGTTATGAACCTTGTCACGTAAGATGGGGGTGATGATAACGTAAATATATTTGAAGTATGAGGTTGATCCCTTTAGAAATAAAGAAGAAACAGTAAGAAATAGTACTTTTTGAGGAAAATTCTAAGTTCAAGGGGAGATAAATCTGAAAATATTGGTGCTATAGTTATGAACCTTGTCACATAAGATGGGGATGATGATAAGGTAAATATATTTGAAGTATGAGGTTGATCCCTTAAGAAATAAAGAAGTAACAGTAAAAAATAGTATTTTTTAAGGAAAATTCTAAGTACAAGGGAAGATAAATCTGAAAATATTGGTGCTAGAGTTATGAATCTTGTCACATAAGATGTGGTTGATGATAAGGAACATATATTTGAAGTTTCAAGTTGATACCTTAAGAAATGACAATGTTATAGTGAAAAATATTTTACTGCACCAAAACTTTAATCTAAAATCTGGACGCCGACGCCGGGGCGAGTAGGACAGCTCTCCATATACTTCGTATAGTCGAGCTAAAAATAAATGAAATAGGTATGATGGCTGATTTGTGCCACCTGGTTTTCACCCTGCGAACCCACTAATTTGTGTGTCTTTTGCCCCGCGACCACGCCAAGCAAAAGTCAAGAGCTGACAAGTTAAAATGGCTGGGACGTGGATAGTCCTATAAATATGACGTCACTTTCAGATAATTTTGCTTCTAGGCAAAGCAACGTTATATCGAAGTTGCTCAAAAACCCATAGCATGGTATGCCAGAAAATCAGGCGGAACGAAAAATTTACATTAATTTTGACCTATTAATGAACAAAACTAAAAAATAAATACCTTTTGACAAAATAATTTAACTGTCACATCCGAAAAATCGTGATTAAATCCTCTCATGCAATTAAATTCCTTATACAGCCCATAAACAAATGGTCACCATACAGTGCGCGAAATCTGATTGGCTTATTAAAATGCAAGCGTATAACTGAGTCAGAAGATTCTAACAGAAAATTACTCAGAAGATTCTAACAGACTATTTTTATGCCCCCCCCCCCCCCCCGGGCATATAGTAATTGAACCGTCCATCCGTCTGTCCGTATGAGGTTAACCTAGAACGGCAAGTTGGATTTTTCTTAAATTCTACCTAAATCAGTACCAATGGCTTCTAAGTTTACACACTTACTAATCAATACAAAGTACATGATCTGGGCAAGTTACATAACTCTGGCTTTCATATTTACCAAGTTATTGCCCTTTTCAGCACAATGGTTAACCTAAAACGGCAAGTTGAAAATATCTTAAGTTCTATCTATACTAATGGCTTTATAATTTCCACACTTACTTATCAATACAAAGTACATGATATTGCCAAGTTATATCCCTTTTTTCACTTTGAAAATAGGGCCTTGTCTGGTTAACCTATTTCGGCAAGTTGGATTTATCTTAAATTTCTCCTAATTGCTTAATTTCTTTAATGATATCTTTCATATTAAGTAGGTGGATACCTTTGATGGTCCTCTAATTTTTTGTGGAGTAAGCGGTCTCTAGGGTCAAGGTCACTGGTTTAAGAAATAAATATAAACATTTTTGCTCATACAGCCTTTTTTTTTTTAGTTGATGTCTTAGTTTAATACAAACATGCCAAGGGAGGTCCTCCTTCTTTGGGTGTAGTAAGGGGTCATTTGGGTCAAGGTCAATGTTACCAATTTCAAGGTCACCAATGTTAAAAATAGATTTTTACATTTTCACAGGTGTAGTAACCTTATTCTCTGGACAGATGTTATTTATAATTGATAGAAACATAAACTTTGATGGAGTTAGTGGACAGTTGGGTCAAGGTCACCAGTGTTAAAAATAGATTTTTACACATTTGCTCATACAGCCTTTATTAAGTGACAGATATATTTATATTTGGTAGGAAGATAACTTGCATGGTATTCATCCTTTTGATTGGGGTAGGATCAGTGGGTCAAGGTCACTTGTGCTAATAATAGATTTTTACACTTTTGCCCATACAGCTTTTATTTATTGACAGATGTATTTCATATTTGGTAGGAAGATAACTTGCATGGTATTCTTCCTTTGGATGGAGTAAGGGGTCAGTTGGGTCAAGGTCACCTGAGTGCTAAAAATAGATTTTTACACTTTTGCCCATACAGCCTTTATTTATTGACAGATGTATTTCATATTTGGTAGGAAGATAACTTACATGGAATTCTTCTTTTGGATAGAGCTAGGGGTCAGTTTGGTCAAGGTCACCAGTGCTCAAAATAGATTTTTACACTTTTGCTCATACAGCCTTTATTTAATGACAGGTTTATTTCATATTTGGTAGGAAGATAACTTGCATGAAGTTGAATATTTTTCAGTCAGAGCAATGACTTGGCAACTTATATTTTTCACAATTACAAAATGCCATGACTTTGTCAAGCTATATAACTTGTGTTTACAATTTTTTGGCAATTTTTCTGTCTATAACTGAGTGAATGGGTAGACATTTTTTTAAATATTGCTACTGACAAGAATCTGAGCCGGGGGCATTTGTGTTTAACAAACACGTTCTTGTTTTAACGAAATAATTGCCCATGCACCGTCAGCATGTTCGAATATATTTTTCCATCCAAAAATTTGGAATCAATCTGTAAAACACCTTACTTAACCAGTATGGCTGATAGACAAAAATAGATTGATGTTTATATCTTATTTTAAATTGATAAGTACATTGTTTGAGATTAGTTTATGATTGAGAAAAGAAGATAAGCTTTTGAATAAAGCTTGAAAAGCAAGATAATAGACCTTTTTTGAATTTTTTATGATGTTATGCGTTTATGAGCAAAAACTGTTTGACTCAGGCTTGACCGACAAAAACTATAACAACTTTGTAACGTCTAATACGTGGAAAAACCGAGCGGGCCGAAGGCCCCGCGAGGGCTGTAGCGCTCTTAGATAACATGTATGACGCCTATCAATTCCTATGAAATCAAATTAAAACTAAATGAAAATTTCAAAAAAATATATATCCTATACCTAATGAGCTATGAAAAAATCTTAAGTTAACTGGGCGCCGCCATTTTGAAATCCTTTTGAGCTAAATATAGATATCAGAGCGCTTTTTATGAGTGTCTATATTATTCGGACTATTGCTAGCAGACGCTTGCTAAATAACACTTCCGGTAAAAGAATGATGCTCAAAATCAGAAAATAAACATGCATTTTATTGATTAGAACTATTATTACGATTATAATTATAACAAAGTTACTTTAACATATCCTTTTTGATAAATTAGCACATTAAAAAAATAACGCTTAAAACAACAACTGTTGTGATCAGAGATTAACAAATGGCGGACTGGATTTTCCAAACGCTGACGTATGCGCAGTGGCCCCCCTTTAGGTTCGGAGATTTTCGGAATATTCCGAGCGCTCCGATGATAGGTTGAACACCACCAATTTATTCATTTTGTTTACGGTACAAACTACCTGCAAGAAAGGTCAGGTTTGCTTGTACATTTAACATGTTATGCTAAAATCATAATTCATAAGAGCTTTCCGTGCCATAGGTAGCACCTAATTTCGGCAATCTCCTGGTTTAGACCCCTATGTATTTTTCAGGAGTAAAACTTGTATATAATACACTAAGGAAAACGGAATGAACTTTATATATACACAGACGCTTGGGGGGTCAGATCCTGCCCCGCAACGTGATACGCCCCTGTAAACACTCTACCAAAACTATTTTAATATTTAAACACGAATGGTACATCTATTACAACGATAAAAATGGTTTTCAAACAATTTTTATGTATATGAAAAAATACTGTATACCATCAAGTCTCAATAAAGTAAAGATTGCAGACTCCAAAATGTAAACACGATCACCCTTGTATAATAAAACCTTTATAAATCATTATTAAATGAACCTTACCGTGACTTTTCCGGTGTAAATCAATAGAAAATAGAATTATCTCCTAGATGCAATCAGAATATAAACATTTATACATCTCATTGTAATATGAAAATCAACATTTAATTAAAACCGAAAGTAAATTTTGCGTTCTGTCCAACCAATACGAGACCTGATCCCGGCTCTGCGTGGAGCGCTTGTCAAGCCGGTATCCAAACGGTGTACATGCTTTCGACTAGATATCTACTCGAGCATTCTATCCTCATGTCCAAATTCAAATATTTAAATTGTACATTTTATAGAATAAAAAAAAAACTTGGGAAACAACACACTGTGCATCTTGGTAATAGTTTTCTTACAAATAAATGTCTTTTAAACGAGCGTTTGCAGACAGCTAATACGCGGGACACGAGGATATAATGCTCGAGTAGATATCTAGTCGAAAGCATGTACACCGTTTGGATACCGGCTTGACAAGCGCTCCACGCAGAGCCGGGATTAGGTCTCGTATTGGTTGGACAGAACGCAAAATTTACTTTCGGTTTTAATTAAATGTTGATTTTCATATTACAATGAGATGTATAAATGTTTATTCTGATTGCATCTAGGAGATAATTCTATTTTCTATTGATTTACACCGGAAAAGTCACGGTAAGGTTCATTTAATAATGATTTATAAAGGTTTTATTATACAAGGGTGATCGTGTTTACATTTTGGAGTCTGCAATCTTTACTTTATTGAGACTTGATGGTATACGGTATTTTTTCATATACATAAAAATTGTTTGAAAACCATTTTTATCGTTGTAATAGATGTACCATTCGTGTTTAAATATTAAAATAGTTTTGGTAGAGTGTTTACAGGGGTGTATCACGTTGCGGGGCAGGATCTGACCCCCAAGCGTCTGTGTATATATACTCCTGGTTTAGACCCCGGGGTCTAATCCAGGATATAGCCGTTTTATTTCTTAAATCTACCTCTGCGCCCCTGTTGGGCGAAGTTTTATTTAATTGATTTCGCCCTGTGTTCCCGCTTACTAATAAGTATGTTTTCACTCGCGCCCGCACCATTGCAACTTCTTAATTCTCAACTTTTCGCTTGGCAGGGCCAAAAAATATGAATGGCACAAATCAGCTGCCATCAATAGGGGAAGAATTGACTGCATATAATATGTTAAATTTGAGGTAGGGAGGAAAATTGTCAGAGGATGAACAGATAGTTAGGGGGAGTAACTCGTAACGTTCCAAGGGAGAGAATAAAATTATGCGGAAATCGTTGAAGCATTTGTTTTCGTCATCGTACTTCAACTGTTTGTCATCGTACGTTACTGTATTCAAATGTTGTGTTCGTTATCAATTGAGCTACAGCAACTTACATCAAAATTATAAAGTTACAGTTGTTCGTGCACAGCTTTGCACAGTTCGACTTTCACAGGCCGGCACAGTCAGGTGATTTGCAGGTGAGTAACCTCCCTTTTTTCTCCGGCTGCTTATGCTAATGAAAATAAGCTGGAAAAAGTATATGTTAATAAGTATCATACACTTGAATTTCTATTCCTTGACATTTTTCCTTTTACAAGTTTGAATTATATATTACGATCCGATCACATTTTTGTGGAAATTGAATACAAGTTAATTGTGCTTACATCATGGAAAAATGTAAACAAAAAATTCAGAATTATCATTTATACATTTAAAGTTAAATCATAAATGTCTGAATATACAATCCAGCTGATATAACAGTTAAGACATTCTGTAATAAGAAACTTTTTGTTAGTTTATTAATCAACAAAAATGGTTTCCTTTGAAATTGGATGCAATTTTATATTCATTTTAAAGAAATCATTTACACTGAAATATTTTAAATCACTTTGCCTTGTTGTCTTCCTGGGTGTTTTTCAATCAGTCTCAGCTAGAAGTGCAAACAGATTGTTGGTCATATCATTTGATGGTTTTAGATGGGATTATATCCATAAAGCAAACAACTTGACAAGTTTTCACAGGATGATAAATGATGGCGGATGGGCAATTCATGGCATAAAAAATACATTTCTGACTAAAACGCTTCCAAATCATTTTACAATTGCAACTGGTCTTTATGAAGAATCTCATGGTGTAGTTGGCAATGTTATGTATGATCCTGCATTCAAAGAAACATTCCATGGTTGGCTTGACAAAGATGCCCGTGATTCAAAATGGTGGGATAATGGTGGAGAACCAATATGGGTAACAAATCAGAGGCAAGATACTCAACACAGGTCAGGTGTTTTAGCTTGGCCAGGAGGTCTCGCAATAGTCAAAGGAATTTTAGCTTACAAAACTGAGTCAGCATTTGATGGCTTGACAATGAAGGAAAGAGCCAAGAAAATGATTAAATGGTTCAAAGATGATTATCCAATAAATCTAGGCCTGTATTATGAAAATGAGCCTGATGAAACAGGCCATGCATTTGGTCCTGACTCAAAAGAAGTTCTGAGTAAAATATATCAGCTGGATAACTTATTGGGAGATATTTTATATGACTTGGAAGACAATAAATTACTAGAAACTACCAACATTATTGTTACCAGTGACCATGGGATGACACCCACACCAGTTAAGAATGATACCTTAAAGATCAATTTAGATGATTACATTAGTTTGAATTCCTATAACATCACATCAAAGAATCCTGTGGCTGGAATATTTCCTGCATCTAAAGGTAAAATATTGGGGTTGCAAAAGAGCTGCTTGCAAATTAACCTGCTGGAACTGAATTTAATAGCCCAATAACTACCAATATAGATACATGTAGATCCAGACCAGCATGCACATCCATGCTGTCAGTCTGACCAGGCTCCATACTGTTGGCTGCTTAAATTTTAATTTTGATCTTCAAATATCCTTAAACTGATTATGGACAGTTAAAAAATGGGAGCTGAACAAGTCCATTTAAAAAATTTATTAGAGTAAGGGTTAAAAATCTCATAAGATACATTTATAATGATAATAGTGTAATGTTAATATACTTTACTAGTATAACTATGTATAATGTAGCCTGTTAATTCACCTGTCACAGTCAGACTCAGCTACATGTATATATAGTCCACTTAGTGTAATGTCACTTACCTGTCAATCAAAAGTTATTTCTGCTAGTACCACTGGGCATCACGGTAAACATTATGAGAAACAATCCTCCATCCATAAACAATCCATAATTATGGGCTATCAGGTTTGATCAACTCACGGTCTTAGTAAGGGATAACTTGTTTTATAGAAGAAAAACATTACACATACTCAAAGAAACTTGTTAATCTGTTATATGTATTTTTTTTAAAAACATATTCTTTCAGAGTTGGAAGATGAGATTTTCCAAAATTTATCAAGAATTCCTCATGCTCATGTTTACCGCAAGAAGGATATTCCACCAGAGTACCATTATACAAATAATCGTAGAATCCCAGCGATTATCCTTGAGCCTGAGGAACATTACTGGATATCATACAATGGCTCGGCTGGAGTTAGTAAGTAATATTCTTTTTCTTGTATCTGATGAATTAATTACATGTACTGGGAAATTTAATAAATTATACAATATTTTGTTAATTTAGATCAATATTGAAATGTAAATCATGTTCGTGAAATGATAAATTCAAGACAATTGAAACTCCATCATGGAAAGGAATTGATATGTGTTATGCTTGTTTTCAAATCAATATATATATATATCTATTATTGTGCTGTAAAATGATATATGCTTGTAAATTTGCTAAATAAAATATGTTAAACTTAACTACTGGAAAAACTATGTACTAATTGAAGGAGCAGTGGCCTTTTGGTTAGTGTCTGCCTCTCAACCCAGGGATTGTGAGTTTGAGTCCTTCTTAGGTCAGGACCATGTTTCCTCATAATTATGACCTCAGTAATTGGTAGTTCCAGGAAGTGGTCAAGAACATATCAAATTAGCAACTATTGCTGCCTTCTTTATAATAAGGGCATAAATAAATAAATGTTTAAACTGAAATACTAACACACAGTATGCCATCTCCTGTTTTTGTCAATCAAGTTATAACATAAGAAAGAATTAAATCTATGCCACCAGTGAGGCATATGTCTTGTAAAAAAGGTTACATTGTATTAACCCACTTGTTTATTTTCAGATGGAGAACATGGCTACAACAACAGTTTAACCAGTATGCATCCTTTCTTCATTGCCATGGGTCCGGATTTCAAGCCGGGAGCAAAAGTTGATACATTTGACAATGTTGACATATATCCACTCATGTGTAAATTATTACAATTGAAACCGGCACCGAACAATGGGTCATTAGAAATAGTTTCTAAGCTGCTAGTAAATAGAGACAGTTCAGGGTCATCAACATTTGGTGTCTGTAAGTGTCTGTTATTTAAATGTCTTTGAACTCTTTTTATATATGGGGAGCCATTGCTTATGTTGATTTAACGGTCAGTCTCTCAATTCAGGGATAGCGGGTCTGAGTTCTACTAGGGTCATGGCCTTTTTTGTCATATGTCACCACTCACCAGTAATTGCTGGTTAGTTTTCAGGATGGAGATCCAGACTGGTTCAAAAATTTAGTTTAAATAAACAAAACTGTACATATATGTTTATTGTTAATAGGCTATAGATGTTTATTTATACTTTTTACAAGATATTATTATATGCAGATAATGTATACATTAAAGCAGAAAGGAATGTCTTAGAGCTCATATGAAAAAAATGACATCAATGATGAGGCTATTTTGAAATTTAACTTTTTTAAATTGTCTCTGAAAAACAAAAACAGAGTAGTAAAGGTACAGTAAAATGTATGCACACATATGAAATTAAATGTAGATAAATGAAAAACTAATGTTAAAAGTGTGTTTTGTAAAAATTGTCTTGTTTAGTTACTAATTCTTCTCCTTTAAACAAAGTTCCTACAAAACTGAACAGTTCAAACATTTTGGAGCAGTGGCCAGTAGATTATAGTGCCTGCTGCTTAACATATGGCCATGAATGTTTTATCATATTTTTCTTCTCTATTTTTCAGACATATTGATATTACTGCTGATAGGTTTAGTTGGTGGTATATTTGGGGTCGCCGTGTGTCAGGCCCACAGGGAACATAGGCGTAGGAGACTGGCGGTCTCTAGCTTCTCGTTACCACACAGCTTTAGATACTCCAAATCTGATAGAATGCCATTGATGACCAACTCTTCAGATGATGATTTTAATGATGAATCTTAGTGTTTTAGCAATGTTATCATAGTTGTTATATCATAGTTGTTATATCAGTTTTACCTAGGTTTTCTGACAGGTTTTTGGATTGGTGAATGTCAGTGGGCGGGTTAACTTTCAGCTGGGCTGTAGAATAACTTTTGTGTCCAACTTTTATTATATGAACATTTTATTCTCAAGGGTTTAAATCAAACTTTGACAGAATTATTAAAAATTGTTGTCAAGGGCCATGAGGCATATTTCCAGATATTATGAATTGATTGTTGATATGTTATGTAATTTTTGCATTAAACCTGGCTTTTTAACTTGTTTTCAAAATGTAAATATGTGTTCACTTTTTAGTCCCCTACAGGTTTAACCGGAGGGGACTTTACCTTTACTCTCCATCCGTCTGTCCGTCCACAAAACTGGATCCCGTGATAACTTAAAAAATACTAAAAATATTTTTATGAAACTTGATATATGGATAGATTTCTGATTTTTACGCTTTTTCACTATAACTTCTTTATATCTTAAGGTATTTATCTAAGTCGACAGAAAAATGAATTCATTTGAAATAAACAGGGAAGGTTAAAAAAAGGTTAAGCGTATTTGCTTTGTTTCGAAAGAAAAGGGAATATTTGTTTGTTGGCAACAATACATGTACTACATATTTTACTTTGCATAAAGGTAATTTCAGAAGCAAACAAATTTCCATATGATATCAGATGTACACACAAGTTCTGTCACTTATTTAGAAATCACTTTAATTTATCAGTACTCCATTTTTCCTGTCTTTCATATTTCTGAATCTAGCTATTGCTTTATACAGCTGTTTTTCAATTTTGATAGGTTGTCATACCCAGTATGAAGTATTCTTAGAATTTTGTCAAGGGTCTCGCGATTCAGATTCATGCAGCTAAAGAGGGATTTTTTTAATTTTATTAATTGGGTAAAAATGTACACGTATACACTTGAGGATGGAAACAAGGCTGAATTATGGCCTTAAAAATTGTGAAATGAAAGTCCAATATGAATATGTATTTGAAGACTGAGGATGAGGTTTTATGTCTGGTGCAATAATATATCTTTGGTGAAAGACCTTAGGTCCTTGGATCCCTATTGTTGCTCAGAATGACTGTGATTTTTAATGTTTTTTTTTACACTTTAAAGCAGGTCTCATTTCAAAAGTGAAATCTGCCCATGTATAATAGAGCATTATGCATGAAGATATATGGATTTTCTTATCAAACTTATTTTTAATGACCTCTTCAAAAACTAAAGTTATTAATCTTCTTAAAGTCCCACCTTTGGTCAAATAAATGCTATTAACAGTACAATATTTTTTAAATTTGCTTGATCACTGGAAGAAAGTTTTCAGAAAATATATTGCTGATAAAATAATGATTGTATTTTTTATGCCTTCATCATTGTACTTTGTAATTTATGTTGAGATCATAATAGCAAATATATTCATGTACAATGCATGCAGAGCTTTTGTACAATAATTGCTTTATAAGAATACATGTACATGTATATTCCTGACATAATTTGTCTCTCTGCCTTCTCACATAAATTATTTGCAGACCAAGATGTTTTGTGTATATTCAGATATAGATAAAAATATAAAGAAATCATATTCCACTTTTTGTATGCATGTGCTTTAATCCCTATTTTTCCAGATTTGTACAACTCACCATTCCAATGCAAATAGTACATACATTTGTCTGAAACAAGTGAAAAGATTTTGTATAAGCCAGGCTGACTCAATTTGATGTTATAAGTGAGCGGCGTCATGACAAAACCAACATAGTGTGTTTGCGACCAGCATGGATCCAGACCAGCCTGCGCATCAGCGCAGTCTGATCAGGATCCATGCTGTTCGCTATCAGTTTCTCTACATGTAATAGAGTTGGGTAAGCGAAACAGGCATGGAATCCTATCAGACTGCGCAAGATGCGCAGGCTGGTCTGGATCCCATGCTGGTCGCAAACCCACTTATGTTTTGGTTTTGTTTCCATGGCGTAGCTCAAAGTTTACTTTTTTAGCTCGACTATACGAAGTATATGGAGAGATGTCCTACTCGCCCGGCGTCGGGGTCGGCGTTCCGCGTCCAGATTTTAGATTAAAAGTTTTGGCTGCAGTAAAATATTTTTCACTATAAACTTTGTCATTTCTTAAGGTATCAACTTCAAACTTCAAATATATGTTCCTTATCATCAACCACATCTTATGTGACAAGGTTCATAACTCTAGCACCAATATTTTCAGATTTATCTCCCTTGAACTTTAGAATTTTCCTTAAAAAATACTATTTTTTACTGTTACTTCTTTATTTCTTAAGGGATCAACCTCATACTTCAAATATATGTACCTTATCATCATCCCCATCTTATGTGACAAGGTTCATAACTCTAGCACCAATATTTTCAGATTTATCTCCCCCTTGAACTTAGAATTTTTCCTCAAAAAATACTATTTCTTACTGTTTCTTCTTTATTTCTTAAGGGATCAACCTCATACTTCAAATATATTTACGTTATCATCATCCCCATCTTATGTGACAAGGTTCATAACTCTAGCACCAATATTTTTAGATTTAGCTCCCTTTGAACTTAGAATTTTCCATAAAAAATATTATTTTTTACTGTTACTTATTTATTTTTAAAGGGATCAACTTCATACTTCAAAATATATTTTACGTTATCACCATCCACATCTTATGTGACAAGGTTCATAACTCTAGCACCAATATTGCAAGAATTATCTCTCCATAAACTTAGATTTTTTTACTAGAAAAATGTTATTTTTTATTGTAACTTTTTTATTTTTTAAAGGTATCTACCTCAAACTTCAAATACTTATTCCTTATCATCAATTACATTTTATGTGACAATGTTCATAACTCTTGAAGCAATATTTACAGATTTATCTGTCTTTGAACTTAGGATTTTCTTAAAGAAATATAATAACTTCTTTACTTTTTAAGGTATCTACTTCAAACTTCAAATATACATTTCTTATCATTACACAAATGTTGTGTGACAAGGTCCATAACTCTAGGATGACTATTTCTAGAATTATTCCCCTTGATCTTGGAATTAATGTTAACACAAATGTTATTTTTTTTTCTATAACTTAATACATAATTATACATAATGGATTTTTTCTTTCGAATAGTTTTCGTCGCTCACTGCGTCCAGTATTTTTTAGTCCGAGTTCGCTGTCTCCCTGTGACAAGCCCTCTTGTTAGATAATACATTCCAATTTAACACATGATGAAATAGATTATTAAGTAATGAATTGTTTTCGGTTATTGAAGGAAAACTGCACAACTTGCAGACACGGCGGCTAGTCAACATAATCAAATAATTTTACCATAATCGGTCCTGTATATGCATATTAAGATTACTGTATTAGTCCATTTATAAAGTCCATAATATTATAGAAACATGAAGGAAATTTTGTTTTAAGCACCTGTGCAATGCAAATGAGTAAATGTGTTATACAACAGATAAAATGATGAGGTTTTAGAATAAAAAGAATACATTAAACTTACAAATTAAATTGACTAGGAAGTGCCATTGAATATGGACGAACATTATTGACCCGAGGCGATAGCCGAGGTCAATATGAACTTTCTGCCGGTGAATATCACATCATAATTTAATGGCTCACTAGTCAATAATTGTTTTATTATATGAATATAAGTATATACAATGTATATACATGTACCAAAGTTTGTCTTCGTTAAAGCGGCCGGGAAAAAAACGCAACATGTTGGGCGTGGCAACGACTAGCGGACGCTGCGGGCATTTACAAAAGTAATTTCAAGTTTAATGCTCATCATTGCCGGTGTAGCCTTTAAGTATAATAGTTAAAGTAATGATATTTTAATCGAGAAAATTTATGCCATATCGGGAACAAAAATGCAACAATTATTTTTTAATTAACACGTTGTAATTAACAGTCACGGTGGGGTATGGGTCATTTGAATATTGAGTTTTTAAAAATCTATTTTTAGACTGGGAAAATCCATTTCTGCCAGTTAATATGATTTTATAAAAAGTTCTGTTGATTACTGTTTGGACCAATGAGATTGCAGCTATATTTAGATCATATAATAAAGAATATTATTTTTACTACCAGCAAGAAAGACAATATCCCACTAGTCTGGAAATATGTCATTTATGATTTATATGATTCATGTGCAAAAATTACAGTTTTCCACAGATTACTGAGCACTTAAATATTTAGAAATATGATATGTAAGCCTTCCCTTTTTTATGCCCTGCATATATTGTGTAATAATGCACTTTACTGTTCCATGATTTTGATAGAGGAATAATGTGAAGCATATTAGAATGTAATATTATATTGGCACCAACATTCAAATAGTTTTTGAAGAACAAATGAACAAAATAAATATTGTGATATATATATATTGACAGTTTCATATCATTTTAGATGTAAAAATTAATTTCATATTCAGGTATAGGTGTATGACGTTAATATGACATTCCAGAGATTTGTTAAATTGCATATCTCGTATATTTTGACCTTTTTTTCACCCATTTTTTTTGTATTGTGTATGTTAATACAGCATGCCTCCATATTCATGCATATTTTCATTAAAATTTTTGAAAATGTATTTATAAGTATAATGCTGTAAAGTGTACAAAGAAAGTAATTTACACATCAAACAGCACTTATTATCCATGTAAAATAATCCACCAAAAATAGCCCCTTCTGTGTTAGTAACGCAGTAGAAATATGGTGATTCCTGCAGAAAAAACCGGTCATTAATCACACATGACATGTAATTACTTGATACTTTTTACCTCACCTGTCACAAAGTGACATGGTGAGCTTTTGTGATCGCTTTTCATCCAGCGTCCTTCTATAAACTTTTACTTCAAACGTCATTAAGTGTCCTTATAAATGGCTAAGCCATTTTCATGCAAACTTCATAGGAATGTCCGTTCCTTTGGTAGTCAACTTTAAAAATTGTTCAAAGATTTAAATTCCAAGCAGAACTCTGGTTGCCATGGCAACCAAAAGAAAAAACTTCAAATATCTTCTTTTAGAAAACCGAAAGCGCCAGAGCTTAAATATTTGGCATGAAACATCATCTAGTCAGTGTCTACTAAGTTTGTTCAAATAAATGCCCTGTGGTCATTGATTTTCCTTATTTGTATATATTAAAAACTTAAAAAATCTTCTTTTAAAAAGCCCAAACAGCTAGAGCTTAGATATTAAGCATGAAACATCTTCTAGTGGGTGTCTACCAAGTTTGTTCAAATAAAAGCCCTGGGGTCAAAATTGGCCCCGCCCCAGGGGATCATTTTCCTTTATGTATATAGTAAAAACTTAAAAAATCTTCTTTTAAAAAGCCCAAACAGCTAGAGCTTAGATATTAAGCATGAAAAATCTTCTAGGGGCCTATATACAGGTGAGCGATTTCAGGGCCATCATGGCCCTCTTGTCTTAAAATCTTAAA